TCGTCGTGTACGGAGCAGCGCCGCGTGGGGCGCAACGGCTGCACGGGTTTCCAGCTTCTGCCGGGATGGACAGGGAGTTCAAGCTGACGTCTTGCGCACAGCCTCGGCATAACCAGCCGGGTCGCCATGCTGCTATGCCTGCGTCGTGCCGGATAGGGACGGGCGCCGCCTGCAAGGGTCAAGTCGGGTGAGGGTTCGGGGGTTGCGCCGGCGGCCTGGCCAAAAACGGGGCCGCGGCGGAGAGTTTTTTTTTGTGCGTGGGTGAATCAAAGCGGGACAAGGCGGACTCGGTGGAGCCACGGAGGAAGACACTTGGGCACCGGCTGAAGGAAGAAAGGGGAAGCCGAGACCTGGGCGGCCGGCGCAGGTGGCGACCCGCCGTTCACCCAAACTCGGAAAGGGCTGGGGGGCGAGGGTGAGCCGAAGGGGTGCTCACGTTCCGGGGCTTGGCGAGGGGTCCTTGCCTCTTGGGCTCGAGCGACACCCCAGGGTTGCCTCGGGGCCGGCGTCGGGGCGGGGCAGCCGCAGCAGGCTTAGGAGCGGGTGGTGGGACTAGGGGCCCGGGCGCCTTGCAGGTGGACGCGGGGGAAGCCGGGCAGGGGGGCGGCGCCAAGTGTGGGACTCGCTGCTGCTGTGGCTGATGGCACGGGACGGGCTCCGAACAGGGGAAGCCGGTCGCGGCGGGCTCAGGCTGTCGCGGAGGTGGCTGAGGCTGGGGGAGGGGGCACGAGGGGGCGGCGCCGCAAGGGTCGCGCCGGCCTCGCGCGGCTGGGCTTCCCACAGTACCAGCAGGCCCTGCTGCGGGTCGCGTGCAGCTTCAACTTCCACGTGTCCAAGTGTCAGCACGACTCGTTCCATCCACGGCCAATACGCGCGGCAGCAAACTAACCCGCAGCAGCTAGGACAAAACTTGAGCACCTTTGAGCCTCACTTTGAGCCCAAATGGCTTGAGCCAACTACTACTGCTACCACGACTACGACGACGACGAAGACGACGACCACTACTACTAGGACGACGACCACAACTACGACTTCAACTACGACTGCGCCATCGACGACGACGACTATTACTATTTCTACTTCAACTGCTACAGTGTTTGCCGTTAGTTTGCCTTACCGCTGATGCTGCGATTATGTGCTGCTCGACGAGAAGCATCATGAGTTTGTTTTTGTTTGCAACGCCATAGCCCGGGAAGCTTGCATCGAGAGTTTCTGATTCCCCATGCAGGTTACCCAGCAAGCCGGGCGATGCCCATGCAGCTGTGCACAGGGGTCCAACGATGATGTCCATTTGCGTCGGGAATTCGAGTTTTGCACCGAAGGCCTGTTTTGGAATCGTAAAGCAAAAATCGGAAGTGGGAATTGTTAAGCAAAAATCGGAAGTGGGCACGTTAACAGTGATGGCCTTGTCGGAGGCGATGCGTGCTTCTTCGGAAAGCAGTGGTGTGCCCGATCGATCCCAGACTTCGCGAGCTCAGCTCACACGAGCCAGCCAGCGGCCTTCTCAGGGCTTCCTGTGGATTTCCCGGCAATGCAAATGTGTGACACAGAAGACAACCAGAAAGACTAAGGTTCTGGGTCAGTGTCGAAAGGACCGCTGCGGTGGACCACGTGGCGTGGAAAGCTTTAACATCACATGTGACCGGTCCGTCGACCCTCCGTTTCACGTGAGCTGGCTTGTGCGGAACTTCCCGGAGAAGGTGCGATTCACAGACCATGCAGATGCCCGGTTGAGATGCCTTCTTCTGGGCGCTACCAGGTTCGGCGGATGTTACGCTTCGGCGCTCCCGGAGTGAACCATCACATGAATTCACCAGGCGTGTTTGCTGGTGTGCTTCGAAAGTGGAGGTCGCAAGCATTGGTACGATTGCAAGGTGGTGCTATGGACAGGAACGGTCTCCATGGAGTGAGTATGACAGTCAGCCAACTGAATGCAGACAGTCGTGAGGGTCTTTCTCGCACATTCCTGCGGTCTGTACATGTCGAATAATAACAAAGTCTCTTTGTATTGTCCGTGCACACAGGTGACGATCTCATCGACACCTTGAATGCTCGACTGGCCCGCTCCCTGGCTTGCAACATCAGTCACCGGGCCAGGCGTGATATGGCACTGAGCGCAAAGCGGTCTTAAGGCTTGTCCGTAGTTTGGCACATTGGCTGCTGGCCGCCGGCTCGCTACCTCGTTGCAAGCGGGATGCTGACCATTGAGTCTGGATGGATTCGGCTGGCGGCAGCTGGCATAACGCTACAGGCCGCAAGCCGTCAACATGTTTCTGTGAGGCCAATGCCTCTTTTGGATGCTGTGGGTTTGCTTGGTTCACAGTGCTTGTCGCGGCTATCGGTTTCCGGAATCGGAGTGCGCAATGATGCCTCCGACAATCTTGGGGTAGTCCACGGGAGGCTTTTGGGCACACGTGGCAGCTGTTAGGTGTGGGGTATGACGTATACAGAGTGGTTACGGTCATATTGCTTCGGGAGAGACGAATGAGAAGGCTGGTGTGAGGTGAAAATGTTTTAAGTCGTCAGTTTTACTTCAGAAGACGGTCCCCGTTGTGTGCATAAAGTAGGTGATCCTGCATGCATGGTGTATGCTCCCTTCTCTGCTTTCCGTCGTGGTCTTGCGTCAACCGAGCTGTTCTCGAGTGGTTTAAAACATCAGTTGGGACTGTGCAGGTCGACCTTGCGCATGTGTGCCTTGGCAGAAGTGGTCGACCACATTCAAGCGTTCGCTGGCTCTGCACAGGTAGGCTGGAAGGAAAGCGCAGCCGAGGTTGGTTCACATCCGCAACATGAGAGTGGAAATTGCTTGCCCTGAAGGCTCGGCTTCCATGTAGCAGATTTCAGGGGTCAAAAGCATCATGCGCTTCCCAAACGACGTTCAGGGATTTTCACTCTTGACGGCTTCGGTGACGGGGCGCAGACCAGTGAACCGCTGACGGCAGCGTCGTTCGATGTCCAGCAACAAACACAAGTGTCAGGACATGCAGTTTCTTTTTGTTTGCCTTGGGCTTTCACTTCACTGCAGCAACAGCTGCTTTGAGCCAGGAATTCGATGCCGTGGTGGTTGGGGCGTATTCTGTTGGATGGCACATCGGTATGCACAAGCTCATGTTATGTGGGGCTATTTGCCGATTGCCCTCGCCGGGCTCTTAATGAGAGATGACTGCCGCGGGCTTACAGAATGAAAATGGCATGCTTGAATGGCCAGGTCTACACCTTTCTGAGTTTCTCGGGTCTGCCCATCGTTCATGGATGCGACCTGAGCCGGAACTCCTTCGTCCTGCTACCATACGAAGACAAAGATTGCTGCGAAGAGACATACCTCACTGACCACAGCGGCTGTTTGATCGGAGGGCAATTCAATGGAAGGCCGGGTCATGAAGCTAACGCAACGGAGAGTATGAGAGAGAGCGAGAGTGAGTAGCCTGGCCATTTTGGCTAAAGGTGCCAGCTTGATCGCGTGTTTTCCATGCACCCTGCCGTGAGAGCACAGTGAAGCCTGATGCGTATCCTTGCTAAGTCTCAGTGAAGGACAGCTGTGCTTGCGAGCTGGTGCTTCTTTCTCCTTCTGTGCTGGCTTCAACGAAGCGTGCCAGCACGACAACCGCTTCTTTTGGCGCCTGCTTGATTTCTAAGTGTCTTCTCTGTCTCGAACACACGGGGTTGGGCGCGGGGCATCCAACTAGTGAAGCCGGAAGCGCTCTACCCGACCGGCGGGCACGGCAAGCCATCAAGCTCAACTCAGAAGTCGTGACATCATGTTCTTTTTTCGCTTTGCATCGGTTTCTAACGCATTTCTTGATTGTGCCAGGCTAGGCTTGGCAGTGGCAGCACCTCGGGAATCTGAGTTGGGTTCGTTGGCCTGGAAACAGCAATCCAAAGTATACAAACCACATCGGAGAGGGAGGGGGGAGCATCCCGAAACAGCTGGGGCATCAGTGCCGCTTGTTGTGCAACGAAAAGATCTAGACTCTAGACGGACGCGCAGTCTGAAGATGATCAGCGAGCCAGAACCCGTGAGCCCAGCCACAGAACTCAACTCAACCACATCCCGAGCCTCAAGCTGGCACGGGTGAAACAGGCCGACAAAGCAACGGCAGGAAAGCGCCTCCTGCATTGAAAGATGTACCGGGCTTTTACTTCAAGGCTCTTCAGCTATGTAAGAAGCTAGGGAAGCACCACACCGCCCACGAGGAGGAGGAGCAAATACAGGGGGAACAATCCGAACTTCAATGCAGTTCCTGGCTGAGATTCCTTCACTGTTATAGCTGCTGCAGGTTGCACATCAACGTTGTCGCTTTCGATAGTTCCGGTGCAGCGAAGCATCGACACAACTGCCGTTGCTGCCGTGGGCATTTGGACAAACAGCCACAAGCACCACGGCAGCCACGCCGCCCAAAGAACACGGACCACTTCAGCAACTGTGGCAATTGATGACGGAAGGGGATGCCAGACATCGCACTCCAAACATCGCGAAACCTTTAGCAAGATAACGGCATCTGGGAGTTCCTAACTTCCTAATGCTTAACCTCAAACGGAAAAGCCTCAACAAATCAGTTAACGGACTCTGAAAGCTGGTGGAGAAGAAAAGTGTGGCAGTTCGTTTGTTGCGGGCAGAAGCGCGCCGGAATGGAAAACAAAACCGGATGCCATAGTGGCAGCTTTGAGCGGAGAGTTGCCACCGGCCAGCTTGCAAGGCAGCCAGCTTGTGATGGCAATGAGGCAACCTGCTGCCAACTTCAATGACAAGTTCTTTTTACCTCGAGCAGCCGCATACGCTCGTTTTGTCGCTGCTTGAAACGAGGCGGACCTACAGTAGCAGGTCGGGGAGTCGAAGTAGCTGGAACTTGCGCCAAAAAAGAGAAACTGGAACATGGGGATATTTTCGTCAAATCAGGCTAAATTGCCATGAAAAAACATAAGGCTAAGTCGAGCTAGTTATGTAATCGTGTTGGGTTAGGTTAGCTTAACTTCGATTGCTAGTATTGGTTACATTCCAACACCCGTGGCACTTGATTCCTGGGAGGTTCGTTCCTGGCCAAACATGGGCTCAGGATGTTCGTTGCAAGTACAACGAGGCCCCGACGGCCTTTCGATTGTTACGCCGTTACGCAACGCAGTGTTCAGTGCGTTTGCAGGAGATTATGGCTTTCCAAGCCAATTGCACGTCCATTCCTGGGAGCTAAACAGAGACATCCCCAGGAATATGTACAGAGGTGCGGACATGTGTTAGTTGACTCCTTGTTGTAAGGTGTTGGTTTTATTGGAACATGCTTGCGGAACTATCGTGGCCATTTATGTCAAATTGTCGCTTCCAAGGGTTTGATGTGCTGTAAGAGTGTTCAAACAGAGGGAAGGGTGGGCAGGACACACTCAACGGGTCTGGTACGTCTATGAGCGGCAGTTTGACGCGAATCGGTGAAGCAGAGAACTGCACAGGCTGGCTTGCCGTGGCGCGCATCTAGAACGCCTGGCTTTGACGGGGAGAAGTTAAGAGCAGACATTTCTGCCGCTGCGTGCTGTCCTAAGACCCGGACGAATCCCAGGCGATGTTGATAAAGACTGGTTAACTAATTCCTGTGCTTGAGGCAAAGACTCTTGCTGGGAGAGCTTGCGATTGTGACCGCTTTGCTCGCTCCTGTTTTGGCGGCCGCGTCCAGCTCAGAATCCTTTTTCTACATGGAGCCAGACTTGAAAATTGGGTAGTTTCAATTGGGTAGTTCAATTCGTTTGAGCTGCCAAGATCACGATCATGGTTGCGGCCACGGCACGGCAAGATCCGCAGCGGCGAGAGTGGTATAGGATGTCAACTTCCCGATCCATGTGCTAGACTTGAAGAAACAAGGCCGAGTGCTTCGAGCAATGTAGCGAGAAGCGAATGTGCGAGCAGACAGTTGGTGCTTGTGGCTATGCCTGGCAGCAAGAACTTTAGTCGGTCGTGGTTGGAATCGCTGAAATCATGTGCAAAAGGGGTGCCAATGGCAGGGAACTTGGTGGGCCAAGAAACTGCTTCAGGCTTCAGAGCTTCAAGCGCCCAAGGGCCTCGAAGGACAGCCGTCGTGGCTCCTGTTGGTTCGTCCCATGGCCGCCATGATTCCGCGGACCTTTCACGTCTCGAAGGAGGGACGTTAGGCGCTTTCAGGCCTGCCATGGCGCGCTACACGGTGGCTTTCCAGGGTGCATGGGGCGCGAACAGCGACTTGTGCTCTTGAATTGTTGGAGCGGCGCTTTTTTGTGGGAGTTTTGGCCATACTCCAAAATCGCAATAAGGCGAGCAAGCAGTGTACGAGCTGCTTGGAAGAACCGGCAACCTGGACACAATGGCTTGTGCCTGATTGCTCCCGGTACAGAATACGATTTGGAGATCCAACTTGTCCTATATGTACAAGAAGCTGGGATACTGTAAAGAAGATAAGACCATCAAAGCAAAGTAGAGCAAAGATTGAGCATGCGTCTTGCTTTCGGAACTTCCTACACATAGTTCAAGAACAGTAACAATGCCAGAACTTTGGCAAGCATGCCGGCCCCACTTTCGTGTTTGTCAAGCAGGGAGCTTGTTGTGCAGTGTGGTAGTGCACCCTTCTAGTCCTGATCATTGCCTCCCGCTTCGTCTTTTTGCGTGTGCACTGACAGGAATTCAGTGT